CGAGCCTGTGTTGCGGTCTTGGGATGGACACAGCACCTCTCTCCACTCAGGAGCTGCGACCTTTCAAGGGAGCTTAACGAAATGTAAGGGGAGGGGTGAGGGGTAACCTACGATGAACTAGCGTCCCATCCAGGCAGAGAGCATGAGGCGGAGAAGCTGTAGTATGCCTCTCTCCATCCAGGAGTATAAATGGGATCTGAGGAAATGGTAAGGAAATCTAATAAAACGGTGCGGGTTAGTGTCACTGTCTCGTTGTCACAGGGGGTGAGGTGTAATTTGAAAAACGTCGAGTTGAATAAAAACACTGAACTGTTCGTGCAGTTGGTAATGTCGAGACTCTATCGCTTCGAACACATCTGTTTTTTAATGCAAGCTTCCTGTTCAACAAGTGCTGCTTACAGTTTACTTATTTCGGCTTCTTTCTCAGAGAATGCCTCGCCAGCCTTTTCAAGCATCTGTTTAAGCTCTGCGCCTTCTCGTTACCGTGATTCGAATGAGCCTGCACTTCCAAAACTGCCTCTGAGGTCGCTGCCTCTTCTTCTATGTTTTCTTTCAGTTGTTTGTTTTCGTGGCGCAACTCAATAATCTCTGCAATCTGTTCACCTGTGAGTCGTTCTAGCTCCTGAAAAGCAAACAGTAGATTTCTTGATTACGGATGAAAATAGGGAAAAAGAACTACGACTTAAATCAATTACAAATATTTTGCCATAACGATGCTGACCCAATATGCCATCGAAAAATTTGTGGAGATGAGATGGAAAAGTCATCACTGGTGCGTTGAACGTCTGATCCAGAGGTCTGGACCCGAGCCTGTGTTGCGGTCTTGGGATGGACACAGCACCTCTCTCCACTCAGGAGCTGCGACCTTTCAAGGGAGCTTAACGAAATGTAAGGGGAGGGGTCAGGGGGAACCTACGATGAACTAGCGTCCCATCCAGGCAGAGAGTATGAGGCGGAGAAGCTGTAGTATGCCTCTCTCCATCCAGGAGTATAAATGGGATCTGAGGAAATGATAAGGAAATCTAATAAAACGGTGCGGGTTAGTGATGATGGGAAAAGAACAAGAAAAACAAAAACAAAACAAAAACAAAAACCCCTCCCGTCTGGACAGAGTAGTAAAGCTGGTTGTGTCCTGCTACAGGAACTGAAAGAGTACAACTTTACTACTCAAATCCGTAATCATTCTGTCGCCATGGTTTATAGTTACCTCACCAACTTACTCACCCGCACTTTAATCTGCTCTGCATGTCTCAAAAACACACTTGGCACCCATTCCTCATCGTCCTCTTCTGCTCTTTCGATCCGGGCCCCTTTCCTAGACTTCTTGACCGACTGCGTGAGCAGTTCGATCCTGCGATCACACTTTTCCTCTACAGCCTTTACCTCCATTTTAACACGTTCACTGAGATTTGATAACAAATTGCACGGTTTCTACTCTGTTCTGTTATTGGGACACCTTTAATAACTGACTGAAAGTTAACACACTGCTCAGCTGAAACACACATTCGAATTTCACTTCTATACGTTCAAGTACGTCATGTCTTGCTAATATGCGCGCTTTACAGGTTCGGCTGATACTAGGGAGAAGACTGATATTAACACATTTTCATTCTTTGTTACCTGTAGGCTTCCTTCATGGAAACAGGCTGTTCAGCCCTTTCCTTGCAAACTTCTTCAGGTATCTTTATTTCCAGAGTCTGCATCTTGCGTTTGTCTTCAATCAGTTGTTCTCGGTAAACTTGAACTGAGTCCACAAGTTGCTAAATTTGACAAAATTGATACAAAAGTAAGATATGCCAGTATAACATACACAAACCCCATCTGATCTTAAGCAACATCCTCCTTTTTAACTTCACTAGTTTTTCACTTAATGATTTTGTGCCCTTTTGGCAGGTTGACATCAGCAATTAGAGTAACCTCAAGGAGGAAAAAAAAGTGTCAAGAGACTAAACGAAGAGTACTTGAGACAAGTCAGGGGAAGATTAGTGGTGGGTCTGGGACTTGTAATATTTGATAGTGTATTTTGATAGTGCAGGTGAGGTTAGTCCTGAGCCAAAGTCATCATCGTAGTGGACATTTGTTGTCAGTTCAATGTTCTAAGTCCTGTTTTTATAAACTGATTATTCAGATTTGTCAAGATGTTATTGGGTGTAAGACTCGACTGGCATAAGTTGGTTGTGATTGGTCAGTTTCGATCTGTTGGTAAAGTTAGGTTATTCTGTTTAATTGGTTTTTAATGTTCATGTTGTGAATAGGTCATTTGAATGGTGCCAGTAGTAGGAGACACCTGTTGATGGGAGTCTATATGAAATTAGTTAGTAATAAGTAGACTTACACTTAAAAACTTATGATTAGTAATTATGTCAGTGTTAGACCCCAGGAAGACCTCTTTCATCGCTCTTATTGTTCACAGCCTCATACTTTACCGCTAGCAAAGAAATGTTTGTGCTAAAGCCATAATGATGAGGGCCTGTTCAGAGCCTATGAATGACAAACCTGTTGGTAAGGGTTGCGTTCCATTATGGCACTTTCCTCCTCTATGTCTTCATCACCATCTGTGAGGGTATCATCACAAGGGGCTGGGGTTTGAAGAGCCCCTTTGATTGATGGCACGGAGGGCCTAGCTGGTTTGGAGCGTTGTGTAGATGCCAAGGCAGCTGCCCTCTTTTCTGGGGGAGGTAAATCCACTGGTTTGGACACTCTGGTGGTCACCTGACAATAAACAAGGAGAGAATTAGACATCAATAACTGTATACTGAAAGATTTGGCTTCTAATTATTAACTTTCTGCACTAAATTCGCCAATGAATGATATATGTCAGGTAACATCCAGCACGTAAAGACGAGAAATATCTACATATTTTCTCACCTTTTTGGCGATAGCCGAAAACCTCATTACATGGAATGTTTCATCAAACATGGAAGCGCACATGTTAACATTGACAATCATAGCAGCCCTTCCTTTTCCACAAAAAAATCCCTGGAACAGTCTGGTGAGTTTACTTTCACGGAATGGGATGATAGGTTTTTGGTTCCTATAAAAATAAATTAAAAGTTTCGCTTGAGGTAAAAGATGACAGTTTTTTTTAATAAAAACATAACGTACAGTATGATTGACATTTATTCTAAAGCTGAAAACTACTATGAACATGGATTTGCAGTCTGCTGGACAACTTATACTTACGGGTTTTTCTGATTGTAACGTAAATATTCCAGGCATTTTCCCAAAGTCATCAAGGAGGTGTTGATGTTACCAGCTTCTTTGAGTCTGTCTCCCTTGCTCTGGGTTTTTGAGTAGCGCTCAGATCCTGCTAAATCCCCAAATGAAAGTCTGCAGAAAAAAAAATTATGTTTATTGTAACTGCTTTAAGTGGAGCATTGTCTCCCCTCTGAGCAATTAAAACACACTCCAAACCAGCTAGACCCTCTGTGCCATGGATCAAAGGGGCACCTCACACCCCAGCGCCTTGTGATGATGCCCTCACAGAGGTGGATGAAGGTATAGAGGGGAAGTGTCAAGAGAATCCATGTAAGAATATAGAGTTGTAGATGTCTATAAATATAAAGGTTCTTGAGGATACTTTACTACAAATAGATGACATATAATATTTTTCAATCAATGTCTTTTGAACTATTTGTGATTTCTAAATTAATAATTTTGAGAGAAATTGCATGATATGTTCACCTCGCACCTGCTAACTCTTACTACGCGGGGATCATCAGCATCTACAACTCGCAGAACCTTAATGCTGAAGATACAGTGACTGAAGATTGAAAGAATTACTTTGTTAGTAATACTGGTATGCAATGATAACATCCACTTCCATGTGTCATCATTATCATCACTACTATTACAACCATCATCATCGTCATCATCACCTCACCATGCTAGTTGGCAACAAATATGCCATAGAATGGACCAAAAAAGACCTTAATGTAACTCACAATAAAAATTTGTTGTTTTTACCTACGACTGGAACATTGGTTTAACTTTGTGGAAGCTATTCTTTTATTTTTCTGGCCAATCCTAAAAATCTATACACGAGAAAAAAAGATTATTCAATATCACATGTCACCCCTCTGAGCAAGTAAACAAGCCATATTTGAATTATTCCTAATTATGAGCAGGTAACCAGAAGGGAAAACAGAAGGTGGAGAGAAAGAGGGATGGAAGTATATCTTACCTTGTAGGCTTCATCAGCATTGGAGACATAAATTTCTCTCAATCCTTTATTAATAAATGTATATAGGCATCATTAACAATTTGCCTTAAATTTTCCTCTTTATGAGATAATTATCATTATTAATAGCAGTATTTATTTACTGCTAATGATATTTTAAGTTAGAATAAAGTAACAAAAACATATTGGAAGAGAAAAGTCGGGTATTGGTAATTAAGTCCTCCTCAATTGTCACATCCTTGTCAACTGATCATCCGTTTGATAGGTCTAGCTGAGTGTGCAATTTTTTTAAAAACTTGACCATTAAAACAAACTAGTTCTGAAAGTGAGAAACCATAGATAGCTATGACAGATTCTCAAGCACAAGGTCCTTGTTGTTTCTGATGACAGAAAACACATATCTACCGTACAGGCCTGATTTTTGTCAGGTCTGATTTTTGCTATTGCATAAATAGCGCTCTCTATTGCGAGGATCGTGCATCATACGTATGTATAACCGCATCTCAAAATATATGAACTTCATATATTCATCGTATCTGATTTATCGTCACGCGTTTATTACGAATCAACTTAACGACCTGCTCCCAGTCGGCTTGTTAGCTCTATGGCGCGACTTTTCAGTCAATATTCAAACAACCTTAATATACAATACATCTATTACATTTCTTCGCGATATTTTTTATTTCCTTTCGGTGTATTTTTTATTTTGCTTCTTTATTTTTCATTTTCCTTCTGTATATTTTTAAATTTCCTCGTATCAATTTACATGTACGTGTTTAGCTCATCTATTTTCTATTTTTTCTCTTCATTTTATATGCGTTCTCTATCTTTTATATTTATTCCATATGTTGTTTTTCGTTCCGAGTGGGATTTTTTACTTTCTTACTCATTAGTGTGCAAACGTCATCATATGACCGTGATGCACTTTTCCGGCAATTTCAAAAGCAAAATGGCGGATGAAACTTTAAGAGATGGCAACGAGAGAGGCCTTTACAACTTCGTAGAGTCTCTTCGTACCCTGTTGATTGGTATTCAGAATTTGAACACACAAGATGTCTCCGTTGATTACTTTGAACAAGCTAACGTGCGTCTGGAAGATGCAATTTTAACTTTACAGTTGCTGTTGCATAGTGTATGGCAAAGTGAGGACTCTGTCCTTCAAGATTTCAAGACAATAATGGAAGCTGTTTTGACAAAAGTACGCTTTGTTTTTCGTGCAATGACAAAGTACGAGGAAAGAAATTCCGTTGAAGCAAAGATATCAAATTCATTCGCTTGTCCTACCACTAAACTAACAAGTGCAGGAAGACCAGTAATCGTCATCGAAAGAGAACAGATCGAATTCTTACGTGAACTGCATTTCTCCTGGGTAAAAATCGCTAGTTTGTTAGGTATCAGTGAGAGTACTTTACGTCGAAGAAGACGGGAATTAAATTTGGATGATGACAGCGGAAACTGGACTGCANTTTTTCTCTTCATTTTATATGCGTTCTATATTTTTTATATTTATTCCATATGTTTTTTTTCGTTCCGAGTGGGATTTTTTATTTTCTTTCTAATTAGTATGCAAACGTCATCACATGACCGCTAGCACTTTTCCGGTAATTTCAAAAGCAAAATGGCGGATGAAACTTTAAGAGATGGCAACGAGAGAGGCCTTTACAACTTCGTAGAGTCTCTTCGTACCCTGTTGATTGGTATTAAGAATTTGAACACACAAGATGTCTCCGTTGATTACTTTGAACAAGCTAACGTGCGTCTGGAAGATGCAATTTTAACTTTACAGTTGCTGTTGCATAGTGTATGGCAAAGTGAGGACTCTGTCCTTCAAGATTTCAAGACAATAATGGAAGCTGTTTTGACAAAAGTACGCTTTGTTTTTCGTGCAATGACAAAGTACGAGGAAAGAAATTCCGTTGAAGCAAAGATATCAAATTCATTCGCTTGTCCTACCACTAAACAAATAAGTGCAGGAAGACCAGTAATCGTCATCGAAAGAGAACAGATCGAATTCTTAAGCGAACTGGGTTACTCCTGGGTAAATATCGCTAGCTCGTTAGGTTTCAGTGAGATAATATATAAATGATTAATAATAATTATATATTTATATTGCGCAAATTAACATGTGGATTTGATCAAATGCGCATCATAACACTTTTCGGGGGACTTTGGCCGGACTGTATCAGCAGTTTACAAACAATCGAAGGAAACTTATTTGAAGATGCCCCCTCCCCCCCAAGTCCCAGTAAACAGGCCAGACCACATCACAGTAATCTCGTGAGTGGGTTCTTTAACGTCCCCTGCCTAAAAAAATTAACTAATTAATAGATGCAGGAGACGGGACCTACGGTTTATTCGTACTTATCCGAGAAGACTAGAATGTCCATCCATTTCTTGATATTATAGAAAGGTAGCGCATTCTGGTAAGTTATTTTAAGACCTTGAGTGTTGGTCCGGCCGGGGCTCGAACCTCGACCTCTCGCACAACAGTCCAGCGCTCTAACCAATTGAGCTAACTGGGAGGCGGTTAGTGAGAGTATCTTACGTCGAGGAAGACGGGAATCAAATTTGGATGATGACAGCGGAAACTGGACTGCATTGTCAGGTACACAGTAATTTACAGAGTGAGGTTATCTATGCTAGTAGCTTATTTGGTTTAAGCTTATTATCAATGTGTTTGGATAAGGATGATATAATCTCGGTTAAGTAATTCTTAGAAGCCATACCCTTGGTGAAAATATTTTAGGTTCCCCTAAGTCCCATCTCACACAATGATGTACGATACTTAAAACTTTGTAATTAAACGTTAACTAGCACTTCTTTTCAGATTCTCAGCTTGAAGACTCTGTCAAAGGAATTAGAAGCATCACTCCAAACATTGGACAACGAAGATTGCTTGGAGATCTCCGAGCAAGGGGATTTCAAATCCAGCGATAGAGGGTTCGTTGCTGTCTTCGTAGACAAGACCCGCTTGGGACAGCACTTCGCCGGAGTACTACAGTTTACCCTTGGAAGTACTCTGTACCAACGCCAAACGCTTTGTGACACATAGACTGAAACCACAAGCTCACCAGGTACAGGTTTGTTGTGCACTGCTGTGTTGATGGGTATTCAAGGGTTATTGTATATGCCACCCTAACTGATAACAGCCGAGCAGATACAGTGTTGGAGCTCTTCATCGAGGGAGAAAAAGAGTTTGGCTTACCTTCGAGAGTAAGAAGCGATCGTGGACTGGAACATGTGGGAGTGGCAAAGTACATGTTGGAAAATAGAGGACTAAACAGAGGAATAATCATAACGGGAAGCTCTGTCCACAACTGCCATGTTGAGCGCGCTCACAAGGATGTTTACACTGGTGTCCTTTGTCACTTTGCCAATATCTTTAGTGGAATGGAAGACATGGGTCTTCTTGATCCCTGTCTACATTTATTTTCATTGCACTTTGTCTACATGACAAGGATAAATAGGGCATTGCAACACTTCATTAGTCAATGGAACAATCACCCTGTCTCCAGTGAACATCAATTATCTCCCCTACAAATTTTTGCCTCTGGGATTCTGGAAAACATGCACTCTGGCTACTCTGGAGTAGGGAGTATTCTACATCCAAATGAAATTCCATTGTATGGGTTTGATCCAGATGGACCTATCCCGTTAGGCGACAACGATTACCAGGTCTCAATACCAGCTGTTGATGTTCGGCTGACACCACAACAACTGCATATCTTGGAAGTCTCCTATCACCCTTTGAATGAGGAGAGTGAACATGGTAGAACTCAATATTTGAGATGCATGGACATCCTTAGGAATCAGTTCAACATATAAGAAACTTTGCTGAGATATGGCCGTTTTGGTGGTAACAATCTTTAAAATAGGTGTTCCCAGCATTCAACCAACCTAAAATCCGTTGTTAGAGAGTGAAAATAGGGCCTAGAATTAAGATCAATTAACGTCTATCAAACAGGTACCACTATGACAGATTGAAAACGCAAACAGTGCAAAGTTTATTATTAAAAGCTGGATCATTGGATAATGCAATTCAAGACTTTTCATTGGCTTAGCCATTATGGTATATGAGCCAATATACCATAAACTACGATATGGTAAGCGTACGCATAAGCTTAAAATTGAAAGGGAGCTAAAAATGTAATAAAATTTAATAATTTAATGTAGCGTTTTTAATAAAACAATTATTCCACTCGCGTTTGTTGGATATGAGATGATTATAGCCAACTCGGCGCTACGCGCCTCGTTGGCTATCTATCATCTCATATCCAACGCGCGCTCGTGGAATAATTGTTAAATATACAA